CTGTCATCACAATAAAGATATCTAGTATATTTTCCTGCTGTAATGGCAAACTACTATTAAACAGAACGGCCGCGAGATAGGTTATCTCCATACATCTTGCACGACCTCGCCTTTATGGGACAAGGTCCGAGACAAGAACTAGAAAACTGGAGTCAATTTTGAGTTAATTTTGCAAATGTTCAGAGATATATGTAAAGTAAGAATTGGGGGGGGTGGGGGGGGGGGGGGGGGGGGGGGGGCAATCAAAATATTCATTTCGAACTCCCACCCCCACACTTTACCACTCCCACACATCGATTTTTCTGTACCGAGGACTCAAACATGGATTCTTACAGCACAATGTGACAGGGAAGAAATTTACTGCACATAGGAAAAAAGATGTATCTAATTGTTCGTTACCAGGGCCCGACAATTAAAGGTTTTCTGCCGAAACATCGCTGATTTCCGATGCACAATTACAAAACTTCATCTTATGAAGGAAAAAGGAGATAGTAAAATTCAGATCCTTGATAAAGGTCATGAACATTTTTGAAGTAGTTTTGCGCAATTTCTAATTGAAGTTCATGCAATTAAAAAAGAAATTCTCAAAATCTGTTCCAAATTTTGTTTTAGTTGTTTTTTGTTTTTTTTTTCATGGGTAGAGCAAAGGAAGCTTAAAATGGTGCAGCTATCATTTTCGCAAAATTATGAATTTTTGAAAATTGCAAAAGTTAAAAATTATGCCAGAAAGTATGTGCTGTTTTCGTTTAATTTGATAGACGTTACCCATTTTATATCCAGACAGTAAGTTTTCTCTCTGTGTATTTTCAAGGCTGCAACTGCGAAGAATGCGACAGGTTATGGTAATCGTACTTCTGATAACCTGCCGTAACTCTGAATTTATGAAATAGGTTTCAGGTTGTACCTTATCTAAACAAACCCTATTACAGAATTAGGCCAAATTACTACATAACTTTGAGTTATGCTGTGTATTATCTTTTTGTACACTTCATGTAAAATTTTATCGTCCGTAAAATTGAAACGTTTCGTCCGAGGCTAACATTTTTTTTTATTGATCTAAGCACGTACAGGCCCCAACGCAGCGTTTGTCATTATCTTCCTGGGTTCAATGTAGCTTCTTGTCCAGTTTTCCGCATTATTTTTCCAATTTTTTAGACCATTTCTCTTACAAAAGACATTTATTCAATGTCAATGTTAAAATGTGTTACCATTGAGCCGTGTTCTCATTAGAATTGTAGATTCCTGCGATACTGTGAGAGCCGATAACTACAATTAATCCATTAAAATACCTCTCGTTATCTATCGGTCAATGGTTTTCACTGTGAAAACCATCATTTAGCACTTTTCGTTTGACAAAGAAAAATGTGACAAAATACCGATGTATCAATGGTATTTAAATAAAACATTCATAAAATATTATATTATTTTATGTCTGGATATTTCTTACCTTAAAATTTCTTCTAAAAATTTCCCGATTTCCCCCCAATTTTTTTCAGACCAATGAAATTTGATTTTCTCATTTATCAACAAATAAATCCTGAAATACCAATTTGAGCTAAACAAACTCTTACGAAGGGGGAAAATATTTTTTTCCAAATCAATTAGATATTAAGTCTTCCGATGAAAACTATTTTAAAATAGTGAGGTTAAATTAGCGTTTCTTCATATCACCAAAAGTTTAGTTTTCTTTAAGTTTTCTTTAATATTAATGCTGCACCACTAGTGGTGGAATCGTCAAAGGCGAGCACTTTCCTTACATAATTGGGAATGCTATAAAAATCATGTTGCGTATTAACTATCTACATCCGAATATAGTTTCTAAAATTTTGTGAAATTTATCGATCACAAAAAGGAGCACAAAAAAAATTGAATGCATTTCCGCAGAATAGTAATATCTCGTCGTCTAATATCTCGGATTGTAAATTTTGTTAGAGATCTAGTTTGTTTTCTTTTGTAAAGGTATTTTGTCTGCAGGTGTTTATAGAACTGTCTTTCGGCTGGTACAGCTTTTGTTAATGCACTTGTTTCGTAAACAATTGCTTGGCACGTATAGATGCGCGAGTTGATGTGTTTGTTGTATAGTAAAGTTCAATTTGTTAGCAATTACTGTGTATTATAGGCTAAAAAATTAAAAGAAATAGTTTTCTATGTTCTATAATCGCAAAACGTGAAGGAATTTTTAAAACACGCATTTTCAAAGAAAATTAGCATATCAAATCAAATCCTTAGCATCGAGAAACTGATGATAAAATGAGTCCGAATGCATGTAAAAGTTCTCGTAATGCATCAAAAAGGAAAACTGTAAATGCAGAAGTTTAGAATTATGTGAATACTAAGACTTCTCAGAAGTCTCCATGGCAAAATACAAAATGTGAAGCATTGAAGATTACCGTTTGTACAAGAATACCAACAAAATTTTGTTTGTCTCAAAACCTTACAATTGGGAGTATCTGAAGCTGTTGTAATATAGAACGGTGGAAATTGTGATTGATGAGAAGTGCAGAAAAAATTGCGTATGACACCTGGGAAAAACCATGCTGATATGGGTTGACAGATTACATAACATAACTTGACAGATTAAGCATAGTAAAGGCAGAATATGATGATTCGCAAATGTCAAAGGAGGCAAGAAAGAAGAAAAGAAAAACTCTGGCTGGTCTAAAAATAAAACCTGTGATTGTCCAGTGAAAAAAATTCTAAGTTTTCCTAACATATGCTATTTTGAAAACTTTGTGTGCTATTTTCTCAGAAGTTAAAATTGTGAAACTTTTGCCCCATTATCTTGGAAACTATTCAAGATATCTACATGCAATTTTCAATGATGATAACCTATGTTCTACTAAGACCTGGATCCTCAATCATGAGTATTACTTCTCTAGTCCGTGCAAGGATAGATTTTTTCTAGAATTTTTTTAACCCTTTTTTTTTGAGAAAAAATTACTGTTTTGGAAAAAATAAAATAAGTTGCTTCAGAATAGAGATGAAAACTTACTTGAGAATCAGTAAGATCTTCTTGCATCACTTTAGTAGCAAAATCCATTAAAATTTATTCAGTAGATCCTGAGAAAATTTTCACATAGTGTTGAAAAATTTGAAGTTTTTGGGGGTGCATATTTCTTGTAAGAGCTATTACTGTACCTAGGCACAGAACATATCAGTGGAAAGGTATGATACTAGAAATTAATTATTTCAAATAATGAAGAGAAACTGTTCTACGAGATAACGTATTTCCTTCTTCTGAATGACAACAGCAACTATGACAGGAATGATACGATCTCAAAACTTAGACCCTTTGTAAGCTCCATGAAATATAGTTTCTTATGGTGTACAGTGTGAGGAAGACCAGTATGATAAAGCAACAATTCCTTGTTTTGGACATCATGGTATAAAACTTATAAGGAGAAAACCAGCTTTGGCTACAAAGTTTGAAATATCTGCAGTAGAAACTGGAATATCTAGTAGACATATTTACCATGAAGTAAACAGATCGGAAAATGGTAACAAAGCAGAATCAGTGGCAGTGTTTGTCTACAATTGAGTGTTAAATCTTCGTAGAGATACTAGCTCAGGCAATTTTCTTTCTTACAACTTTATGCTGGCAAGTACTTTGTTTGTCTGAAAGTACTTCCAGATTCTACAAACCGGGAAATTGGAACAACAGTAGTAACAGGATGGAGAAAAGGCCCCTAAAAGTCATTTTCTGTTACGTAAAAAGAAAAACATGGTTATTTTGCACAATATAATGATGAAGACAGTGCTAATCAGATTTGCCTCTAGCAAATACCTCAAAGATATTCAGCAACCAAAAACCATGCCAATTCCTCAACCACACCTAGTCCATTTATAAAATAAAAATATGGGTGAAACTAATTGCAGTAATCGGAAAGTAGCATTAAACAGCATAAATATCTGCTTAAAGAAATGATTGTGGTCAATATTTTGGAGGGGGTTTTGATGTGACAGTACAGAATACATGGCTTATCAACACTTCTGAATACACATGTCAAGAGAAAATGGGACTTATTAGAATGTATTAATTGCACTGAATTATCTGCAATTTATGGTATGCCCAGATGGTATTTATGGTATGGTTTTCATAATATTTCAGGATAAAATGAACTATTTGTCTGCATTACTAAGGCACTTTTTATTAAAACGTAGAAGTACTACCTAGTACCCAGTATTGTTTTAGTAACACTCATCCTTTCTAAAACACTGGGAACAATTTCCAAAATATCTATAATTTCTTGTCAAATTACCTTGTGTGTAAGTAAATCCAGCAATATGAAACAAAACTACAGAAAAATATTCTGAGATTATATAGGTAAAATATCTGGATTTTCTTTGCAGACTAAAGTCATATTTCGATTACACAAGAGACCCTGGCTGCCGAATTCTGCTTTAAGACAACTAAAGAGCCAGGTCACCAGTGAACATAATAGTTATGGGCCTACCAATGTTTTCCATTTAGTGTACAAAATGAGAAATATAGACATTGCAAGAAAGGAAAGTTTCTGCTATTCCAAAACGAAAAGGCTACTTCAAGAGGTAAGTGCAACCACCCCCCCAAAACCTCTGCTATTCTCGGGCTCATTTTGTGAACTTCCAAAAACTTTAACATTTCAGTCTTGATACGTAAACTATCACACTTTTACGAACAAATGCAATACATTTCCTAAGAAATCTTAGATATTTTTTGCTGATAACTTTGTCAATAGTATGAATATAAAGAAGTATAGTAAGTGGCCATTGAATTAGAAATTTTTGGATTTTTTATTACAAAATCTTGTTATAAACACCATATGTAACAAGCAGTTATTACCTATGTGAGGTTAAAACCTAGAATGGCAAAATTTTCACTTTGGAAGCTGAAATTTTAGAAACAAAGTGTGTGGGCATACATAGAAATCTTTCCTAAATACATGTTATAATGTGTATTAGCTAATGATATTTGCACTGTTCATCAGCTAATTATTTCCTAATAATTGGAGAAAACCTACCTTTTGGCGCATAAGATCCTCAAGATCAATATCATCTTCAATGACTGTGATCTCAATATCTGAATCTGATTCTTCCTTTATTTTGCAGTCTGAATCATCTGATGATTCTTCATCCTGACTCTTGGGTTGTTTTTGTTCAGTGAGATCAACAACTGGCATTTCTTTCTCGTCAGGTTTTAGAGATTCCTTATCCGTGTGTCCATTGTCATTTGCATTAACACCATTAACAAGTTCAGGTATCTCTTTAACTTTTGATTCTTCACTTACTGAGTCATTATTATTTTCTTTGGAGACATCTGGAACTGCAGGCACATTTTGTACATCACTGACAGTACCTTCAACACTTTCGCTTGTATTTTCTGATAATGGTTTTTCTTTCTCATTTACATTAACCACTTCACTTTGGGGTTTATCATCAGAAGATTTTACTTCTTCTTTTATTTCCTTGACTTCACGCTTTGAACTTCCAGAACGAATCTTAACAGAAAGATTGTCTTTAGATTTCACTTTTGCTTCAGAAACAGTATTTTCTGCAGCTTCATCTTTCTTATGTTTCTTTTTCTTATGGTGTTTTCTGAAAAAAGAAAAAAAAAAAAGTAAATATAAACCTATTCATATCTGTGAATAAAATTGCTACTCAAATGACAAAGTACCTTTCTTTTTACAATGCTTGAGAAACAAGTGACAGTATTAGAAAGAAGTATTAGAAATAAGAGAAAAAATACAAATACACACAAACATGGATATATATATACCATACAAACATTGATTATATCGGCAATTGCTGCTCAAAATCTAGAGAAACACAACAGAATCCTAAAATTCTTTTACTCATTTACAATCATTGTTTAACAATAATGGCCGATGCTTAATATTACAGTTACAAAATTAACTGTACTAATAGCCAAAAGCAAGTCACTGCCCACAAACAAGTTTCTCTATAAATTAGGTTTTAAATAGATAAACACCACTAAAACTGTGAGAAGTAGTTCTTTATTAATTTGATAGCAAAAATTCACCCATTCAGAATTTCTAAAACTTAGAGAAATTAAAAAAAAAAAAAAAAAGTTAAATTATGAAATACCACTTGGTTAACTGAATGGAAAGGAATTGAATAAAAAAGAAAGTGAGCCAATATAGTAAGTAACCTTATCCAGTGGTGAGGGAGAGACTGATGGAGAATGGCAGAGAGGGACTCCAGTCGCTTCTTTAGTTGGGTTAGAAAGAACAGTGGGGTATTTGGGATTTTATTTTCCTATCTTGAATTTAATGAAGGAATATATATTTTAAATTTTTTATTCATATCATAAAATACTAATTTTTCATTTGAATAATGAAACTAAAATGTATTAGTACTTTTAAGTGAGTGTATATATGTACACAAACATATAAAAAATTCATCAACGGCTTCTCTCCCCCCCATGTTTAAGATTTCAAACTTATACAATCAACATAATACGCCGTGTACTTGAAATCCACGTTTTGTGGACCCTTGAAATCGAAAAATTTGTTTCCGCCAAAATGTCCGTCCGTCTACACGCCCGCCCCTTTGCCTGCCCAGTCCGTCCGACTTATTGGGGTGGAAAAAAATTAGCCAACTCGGAGCTTTGGCGGCCGATTGTAAGAATGTGTGCGTGTGCGTGTGCGTGTGCGTGTGCGCGCGCGCGCGTGTGTGTGTGTGTGTGTGTGTGTGTGTGTGTGTGTGTGTGTGTGTGTGTGTGTGAGAGAGAGAGTACGGAAACCAATATTAAACCCGTCTGGTGAACCACGGAGGGTATAGCCGATAAGGCGGTGAAAAGTACCCTCAAACCAAATCGATACTCGCTATGCTCAAATGAAAGAATACAAAACGTCGTAGATTCGCAAGAATCCTCCTAGGGCAATCAGTTGCGAGATACGAAAAGCCTGATTGTAGTGTTTTATTTTTTAATTATGTTTCATGTATCAGGCTGAAAAAATAAGGAGACGGGGGGAAATAGTTGCATTTGAAGGTGTTTTTGTCAACAAATTTTGACGCTCGATTCAAATAGAAAAAATAAATTATTTTTTGAAATTGATTTTCTAGGGAAAAAAATGAAACACGAAAAACACGTTTCTCATATCTCTGCACGAGATCCCTAGGCTGCTTCTACATTTTGAATCTACATTTTGTATTCTCATTCATATGAGCATAGCGAATATCGATTTGGTTTGGGGACACTTTTCCCCGCGTTATCCAGCTATACCCTTTCACGCGTATCTGAGATGTGAACTGTCACCAGTGGAGAAAAAAAAACACAACCTAGGGCACTGCTGCTAACCATTGCTACGAAGTCACGTCACGAAAAATTACGGAAAGAGCGGAAGAGACGCACAAAAACCCAGGCTGCGGGCTACCGCAGCGGGCAGGACGTAGCAGAAAATCGCAGTGGCTAGCTAGTAGGTATCTGTAGTATACTGCTAGTAGTATACTGCAGTACATACGTGATGGCAGACTTCTGCCATCGTGCACAGTGTGCTCGATTTCTAATTCTCATTACGGGAAGGTAACAAAAAACGATTTCTGATGAAAAGAAAGTGTTTGCACTTTAACCCATGAGAAAAAATCTACAAAACGGAAATAAATACACGATATCAATAAGAAACCGGTGGATCTACAATACAACATACTTCCTCTTATTTGTAACAATTACGTAATATTAAAAAAGCAGTTTAAATCCCAATAGTACTACACCCATAGCATGAAAAACTTGTCACTAACAAAAGGAGATTCGAAAAAACACGTTTGTTGAAGATACAGGTGTTATAAAGAAAATAGCACTAATGCAATGGAATTAAATTTGTGTTCTATCCTTAAAAATCGTTCAGAAAAAAAGATAAAATCTTGTTTAGATACTTGGAAAAATATAACGAATATACGCGAGAATAACCACTTCCAAAAACAGACGTACGAAATTTTTTAAAAGATATAATATTGAAGAATAAATTAACAACTCAATTTTCACGGGAAAACTCCTATTGTATTTATGAAACTATTGGTGCTACAACAGCACACACTTTGCCAGCAACCCTGGGACAGTTGAAAGGGGGATTTCAAAATTTATTTTAGTATAGAACTTCATGAAGGGTAGGTGAGGAAGGGGAAAAAAAGACTTCTCGAGAGGGCTTTTGTACTTTTGCGTGTGTGACTAACCTAACTTCCACTCAAGTTCTTTAATAATCAATTGTTCGGTGGTTGAAGAACCAACTGAACTTCGCCAGGGCCTGCTTCCAGTCGCGCACCGGGCAGACCCAATCAACATTCCAAGGCATAGGTGGATGTTTGGTTCGTCAATTTCGGGACCACGGATTCCGCGTGGAAAACTGTGTTTGTGAAACGGCCAACCGTGGCATCGATTAATTAATTAGTGTTTCCTGGCGCGTCATCTCTATAGTCATTAGTTCCGCGCGTGCACTGCATGTTCATCTAGAGGTGTCTGATCTAGAGCTTGACAAAATCCGGTGCCGTCCTACACGTCAATTTGCGAGATTTTCCCCAACCAGTATCTTCCAAGAGAAGGGTACCGCCCTAGCCTGGACATGTTCTCTGCTTCCAACTGGTCTCCCGATATGCGTGTTAGTATAGCGTATATAAATGTGTGTGTGTGTGTGTGTGTGTGTGTGTGTGTGTGTGTGTGTGTGTGTGTGTGTGTGTGTGCGCGCGCGCGCGCGAGTAAGGTTTGAGAATACAAGGAAGAGGAAGGAAAGATTGCGCGCGATCCAAAGCCCTTAATTCCTTGAAGCCAGTAATTCCTTTCAATTTTAGAAGCCTTTTCAATATTTTCGTTGAGTCTATATTCAAGGAGAATAATTTCACTGAGCTGACGAACCAACCTCTGTAATTTTCTAAATTTCTTTATTTGCATTGCAATCTTAATCGTACTTACGCGTTTCATTGTTTTGCTTTGTTCGTTGCGATACGATTTTTTTTTTTATTTCTGCTTGGCAAGATCTGTGCAAAACAAGCTTTCTAGGTAGCAGTTCCTTTCATTTCAATCTCCTGCTACAAGAGGACAGAGGGAAGGGTCTTGTATCCATACACAGGATTAACTTAACTGTTCTCCCCCTTTGCCACCTATCACCACAGCCCAGCAAGAGCACAATACATTGCTGCAGCGTTACCACCAGGATGTAGCGAGGAAAATGGCATGGCTTCTTTACCGCCGAACTCTAGCAGAGGTACACCACCCCACCCTTCCACTCACTCACCCTGGAATTGTCAGGGAAGTAACTAGTCCGAATAGAATGATCGGGTGAGGTTTAGGTCCCGATAGTCCGCGTAGAAGAGGCCACGGCGCCACAGTGTTTGAGAACATGGAAAATGCTACCTTAAAAATATATCTTGATAGGAGCAACGAGTGGCCCCACAAAACTCCGTCAACTCCGACACCCATTCTCTCCGACGCGGATTGCTATGAACGGCGAACATGAGTGGGCGTCCAGCACACAATGAATAAAATGAATAAAAAAATAAAAGAAGCTAATAAAGGAGTAAAGAAGACTTATGAAATGGAAAGCAAGATAGAATAAGATAGAGGAACAAACCTCTGCTGTTTGTCAGGACGTAGAGCGACTCCTAATAGACGATCGTTTTTAAAGAAAAAAGGAAAAAAGGAGAAAAAAAGAAAAAGTGTCGGAGACCCCCCCTCAATACGCATTTCCGCCTATATCGACATCAATTTTTGTAGTACCATATACCTTTATCCACGTACACGAAGTGTATCACAAACCGTGACCGACATTTTCTTTTACACAAGAGGTTTTAATATATTTTCGGGTGCATCGGCAAGCTTCGAGACTTTACATATTTTCGCGAACCACAAAGGCGCCAAAATTCTTATCAAATCAAAGGTGATTGACACACCAAAAGAATTGAAATAAGTTAATTTTTGTCTTAATGTTTCTGCCAGAATGCAAACGGACATCGAAATACGTAATGCAAATGTTTTCCGGACAGCCTCATGATGATGTTCGAGGAAACTGAACGACACGACTATACGTCTCGTAATTCAATGTTCCTATAAGAGAAGTTCCTCTTTCCTCATGCGACTCTCATTCAGGCAGCAAACAGGATCATATTACGTGTAAACTCTTTCCTTGTAGAAATGCACATATCTTCCTTGCGATAAAAGGGGAGTGGAGTTTATTCTTACGACCACTATCAACGGAGAAGTGCAGATAATGAATTAAGGGGAACGTGGCCAGATTAACATAACTTTCCAACACCAAAAGCTTCAGGTAAAAAGCAAATTTTCAAGAAAAATTGCACGAATAAGGTAAATCCGTTCTAACAGTTGAAAAATTTGATGTAGTTTCATTGTACTTATTTTACTATCACAAAATGATTAGTAAATTAGTTTTAGAACTACCATTAGTGTACTTTGTTGATAATTGCACATTAGGAGACATCTGATACTGCCAGAGTTATATGCACCAACAGATGCAGATGTGACGAAGGTTTGCGTAAGGAGGCTGAACAAGCGTTCAATATGGACAAAAACCGAAGAGAACATATCCAAGCTAACTTAGTTTTCTCATTATATTAGAAAAGCAGCT